TGTGTGTGTGTGTGTGTGTGTGTGTGTGTGTGTGGCTGCAGGCCTCAGCGAGCTGCATTGCTCTGCGGCCAAACACCATACGTCAAGACCCTGACCTCAGATAGTTCAGCAACACACGGCATCACAGTGGAAACAGCATTTTTTTTTTTTTAATATATATATGTGATATTTACCCAGCAGTCGTCCATAGAAGAGAGTATGTTTTGTTTCCCAGCCACAGGAAAATAAACGGGTGGTTTGACTCCTGAATCAAAATTCATAGAGCTCAGTTATTTGTTCTAACACATGTGGTCAAAGTAACTGAAATCAAATTTGACAACAGAAAAAAAAAACTAGACCCTGTTGAGTCTTGGAACAGCGTAAGTGTGCGGCATTACTATATGTTAGTCCCTGCTATATAGCTACACACACGCACACGCACACACGCACGCACGCACACACACACACACACACACACACACACACACACACACACACACACACACACACACACACACATGCTTACTGTCTCTCCAGTGCACACGAGCCTATCATGCGACCAGGTCCTCGTGTCTGTGGAAGATCAGATGATCACAGAGCATCAGCTTGTAGCCATCCTGATGCCATACTCCTTGTTTGTGGACGACTACAACAAACGGCCTAGTGTCATGATGACGTCAATTTGGCCGCAGTGGAGGGCTAATCAGCTTTTTATTTTTTTTCCCCCTTTGTTTTTTCATGGAGCTTTTAAAAGGCTTACAATTTAGCAAGAAGTGATTTACTCCTGCCTGGCACGCTCTGAAATTCCTCTCTGTATTCCTCCTCACATGTGTAGATTGTTTACGGAGAAGAGGAATTCTAGAGGGATGGCGGTCCGCAAGGGGCTTGGTTGCTATGGTTACTAACCCCTGAGCTGGGTTGCATTTAGCAGGAAGGAAGCTAAATTATTTGCAGACAGAGAAGAGTAAGCTCATGTAGGGAAAGTGTAATCAGTCGAAACCTGTCCGCTACTGTGTGGGTGAATTAGAGTTAGAATTAGTTTCAGCTGATAAAGATTTGGACTTTTTTCCTTCTGTGCAGTTTGTGAATTTCAGCCCAGGAAATAAAACAATATCAATAATTATCACAATATAATTTTCATCGACTGATATCAGATTTTTTTTTGTCTTGATATAACTTCATATCATATCAACCAGCCTCACATCATCATTTACTTGTTGATTTAAATTTGAGTTATTAATGTGGAATGGTGAAATAATTCATAGTATGTGTGTTTATACAAAATATGATGCTTTAATCTTGATTGCTGTGGAGTTGAAGTTATAGAAATATTTATTCCAGCATAGTTCTATTTGAATACTGAGTTCAATACAGAGGAAGAGGAGCTAGTACTGTGGTTTAACTTTTTCTTTTTACTCATCATGTCTTTTTATCAGCGTGATGACAGTTGCTAATTTTATGAGAATTGCTTGTAAACATCATTTTAAACTGATGATGTGTTTGAGAAAACAATGTATGTACCTCAGTTTGGGGTCTCAGACGCTCCAGCTGTGAAACATGGTTAAATACAGTGGCTCTTTATGTACCGACAGTATTTATACACGACAGAGTCTGTTCAGATTTCTCTAATAGGAGGTCGTCATGGTTTGTTGATGAGGGGTCTCTCCAGGGTCGAACTGATGCTTAACACGAGTAGCATCACCATCATACTGTGCAGTGAACCAGTGATTTCATATATAACAAGAGAGATATTTCATTATTTGGTGACGTAGCAATGTTTTTTTTTTAATTTTTGGTATAATGTATGTCGCAGTATTAGAGCCACATAAAGAGACATTTTTTCGAGAGTGAAGTCATACATTTACAAGAATAAAGTTGTAATTTTACAAGAAAACATTCGTACAAGAAGGTTTTTTCCTTTATTCTTGTACTATTACAGCTTTTTTTTATGGCCTTGATAATCCATTGTAATGTTGTCACTTTCATTAAGTGTGCTAGCAGAAGCATCGTCACCAAAACACAAGGTTTAAAATAAAAACTATGATTAGGTAAGTGATTCAAATATCATGCAGTTTGCATTGTTCTAATCCTTGTTTTCTTCTTCTTATCTTTCAGACCACATTAACAGAGGTGCAATTTGGACCAATGAAGTTATTTAAAGACCCACTTCAGGTATCGTAAAACAATGCCAAGCATCTGACTGACTGGTGCCAATGTGCTTGAACGCATTAAGTCTTTTCCACAGAACGGCAGAAGTGCTGCGGCGAAATGTTTATGTATCATTGAAGGGCTTTTAGCTGAGCCTCGGAGCCAAAATTTGTGTTACTGTCAATATTTGCTGGCATTTTTCTCGGATTAGCGTTTTAAAACGTCACCTCCTTTTGTTTGCAGTTCAAACTAATCTTGAATTTCTCAAAGATACCACACCTCGCACAGAGATTAAAGGGGGAAAAGGGCTTCATGCAAACATTCAAAGAAAAGGAGGAAAAAAAAATGTTAATGGACGCATTGTGTGCGATGAAGCCTTGGGTTGTCAAGGCAACAAGGCCAAACATTTATGACCGAGAACATACCATAATGAACAATGCACGTTATGGAAGAAGTGCACAGAGGATCCATGGACCAGTTTCATCACTGCAAATAGGACATTCTCTGACGTTCAATGGCTCATTATACACTTTGGTACTGTGCTCGTTCCTCTGGCATCCGCTGCTGCTGTGAGAACGTGGGGTCTTTGAAAAGTGAATTTTAAAAGTATTTTCAGTATGTGCAACAGTTTGGTTTCATCTTGTTTCCAAGGGTGTTACCCGCTGCTGAAAATCAATCAGCTGTTCAGATAACCGATCAGTCGTTATATTAAATTTCCAACCAAAATAGAATTTGCTGGTTTCAGCTTCTCGAATGGGAGGATTTGCTCAACACTTTGGTTTTCAGACATCTTTTACTCTTTAGAAATTCTGATGAGCATTTTTAAAAGGACATTGATCGTTATTTTACAGATTAATACATCAATAATGAAAATCGACAACACCGTCAAGAAGGTTGTGTTTTCATCTGCCTTTGTTTGTGTGTTACTCAGCAGTATTACACAAAAGCTACTGGACAGATTACCATAAAACTTGTGTTACACTTTTCATTTGAAAACTCATCCACTCTGCTACGGACACACTACTCCAGACTTTAAAAGCCCAGAAATATGGAGAAGTTTTAAAACTCTGCTGGCCCTGTTTTAGTCTGTGCACACTGGCTCGCACATTCCCGGAGTACGTGAGTGGTTATGTGATATGTGTTTTGCGATAGTATGGAAGGGGTTTCAAACTGATTCTGAGCCAAAAAGCTTTTGTGGACAGAGATTGTTTTAGTGTTAAAACACTGTTTTCAAACAGTATGGATGAAGCCTTGGTGGGATGATGCAGCGCGTCAGGTATCAGGGAAGAACAAATTCAGTTTGGTGGAGATCCAAATCATGGGGTGGATCCAGGAATTTATTTTCAGTTTCTTTAACATGACATTTCCTCCCATGTCCCAGGGAGTATTTCATGTATCATGGCAAGTTTAGAGGACTGATATCCATAAGTGTGAAGTGTGCACAATATAGCTCAGCGAGATTGAGTTTAAGAAAACTGCTTGGCCTTGGTGGAGGAATGTGCTCTTTTGAGCTCAATTCTTGGTGTTACCTGTGTCCCTAGTGCATAACCCCTTCAACTAAAACACGCTTTTTATTCAAATATAAATATAAACTGCTATGGTAGTATAACAATAATGATCTATGGTCAGAGTCTGAGAAAAGACATGTAATTTAATGCCAAATATAAGTGCAGAGACTGGACTTTATTGTCTGATGCGCTCCAGTGTGACCACAGTAGGAAAACGAGGTAGAGAGATATCCCCTTCCTGTTTTTGTCACTCACAGCTGATCCTGTCATGCCCTCCTCCGCTCTACTCCTCCTCTTTTCTCGTGGCTCACAGGATCTGGCCGGGCCTTCTCTGTTTTCAACAATGATGTTTTCTAGACAGTACAACCGCACACTGCCAAAAACCTTCAAACTAGGTTTCTTTTCCCTCCTGTAAACTTTGCCTCCTCTGTCGTCCACTTCCTTATCTCAGCCTATATTTCCCAGTTCCTCCACCTCTGGGGAATGTTGACTTTTCTACCAACATCCCAATGTGGAATTCTGATCTAATTCCCTGTGCGTACCAAACATAGCTGCAGGTCTCACTTGTGATGTATTTATGACCCGGACACTTTCTGCAGCTTGTAGGGAAAATGTTGGAGAATGGTTTGCATGAGTGAGACCCCTCTGAGGTGGGGGGGGTGGGGGGGCTTCTGCTTGGGTACTTGTATAAAGCCACGGGGCAATCATCAGAATGAATCCATTATATTCCCTGGTTGTGTGGAGGACAGTGGCTGTAGTTTACAGGTGTGATGCAAACTTTAAACTGCAGAACAAACTTTTTCTTCTTTACGTTCATTCTGCTTCCTGCCAACATCAGGAGATGACGTCTGTTTGAGGGTGACTCATGAATCTGCTCTTAGTGCAGCACAGCTCTTGGAGGTGGGCCTAAATCTCTGGTCCAGCATTTACGTAAGTGAGGGGTTATATGAAAGTATGCTGGCAGAGAGAGAGAGAGTGAGAGGGAGGGAGAGGGAGAGAGAGAGGGATGCTCTCAATGGCTGGTTTGATGGCAAGAGCAGCACTTTCTACCACAGACTGGTGGGAGGGGCCCCAGCCAGTCAAGGCCACCTCACCTAATTGTGTCATAGATCACGGCTGCGGACAATAAAATCTGTGCCACGCCCCGTGTGCGAGCCGAGCCTGATCAATCAGGGCCTGTCCACTGGAGCCCTGAGGTCACAGTCAAGCCCAGGCTGCGGGCGCAAATGAGTATAAATGTACCGATGACGTGCTGACAACTCTGAGGTTCATCCAGCAAATCAAAATCACGTTCTGCTGTTGCTGTCTTTTGTTTTTTACTAATTTTATAGCACAGAGTGGAGGTTCTTCATTTCTGTTTAGCTATACCAGTGTCACTAATCAGATTACTGACATATTACTGACATACCAGCCTCACAGTTCTCGTTTGTTGTACAGAAAAATATTTCCAGCAAACCAAACACTGAGTCTTCAGAAGTTGTACAAGTGAACATAGACACACAGGCAGCTGCACTGGCTTGTGTTTCTTGAAGATGCTTCATCTCTCTTCCAAAAGGCTGAAACTTCTTCCAGAAACACATGTTGTGTGCTTATGTGCAACTTCTGAAGATACCATCCCCTGGATAACTGAGTCTTCGCAGATACAAACAATGAGTCCTTATATACATGCAGGTTTTGCCACTGCAGGACATATTATATAAACTTGTGTGCAACAGTTTGTCGATTCATCTATTTATTCTACTAAAGGAACATTAATCACATCAACAATTTTGTTAAATTTATTAATATGTTTTTAAAGTAATCGCCAACAGAAATGTCAGAAATAAGTTAGTTCCTCTGTTTATCTAATTTAAAGTTGGGCGTGGTTTTGTTTCACAAATCAGATTACAGATACATATCAGCCTCTTAGTTCTCGTATGTTGTACAGAAAATATTTTCCTGCAAACCCAACACTGAGTCATAAAGTCATAGTTTCCCAAAATTTTACAAAGATCTACATCTACAAGGGGCTCTGCAGGTTTAGCCCCTGTAGGACATATTATATAAACTTGGGCTCCAACAACGATGTAATTAATGGAAAAGTTTAGATTAGTCAATTTATCTATTATATTTTTGATTTATATACTTAGTCAAGCAATGTTTCACGATGATCTTTTGGTGTATATGCGAAGCCTTTTTTCAATCTGCTGCAATATTAAAATCTTTAACTGTTTTTTGTTTTGTGACCAACTGGTTTAAAGGTTCAGTGTGTGCAATTTAGTGACATCTAGAGGTGAAGTTTCATGTTGCAGCTGAACACTCCTCATCTCACTCTCCCCTTCCGAACATGAAGGAGAACCTGTGGTGAACCTCAGTTATCAACGGTTTTAGTTTGTCCAGTTTGGACGACAGAAAAAAAACAAAAAAACATCCCCACTCCATGTAAATATAAAGTATTTCAATATAAAGGGCCCATACTAGGGTAAAGATTGTTTGTTTTTAATCTATCTTTTGTCCAATTTGATATTGTGGCTCTTGGTAAAGATCTTATTATTTTAAATTTAGAAGAGTAACTTATTAGAAGTAACAGTAGTAAACTATAGGAAGACGACATTATCAGAATTTTTTTTATTTTAAATGTCCTCTTTTATAGCCTGATATACACGTGTGTGTATATATATATGTATACGTGTGCTTAGTCACCTCTTGTCTTTGCAGGTACTTTTAGTTTTTGCCAAAGAGGACAGTCAGAGTAATGGCTTCTGCTGGGCATGTGAGAAGGCGAACTTCAGGTGCAGCATGGCGCGAACACCCGAGTCGGCTCTTGAATGCTTCTTGGAGAAGCATCACGACCTTGTCATCATTGACCACAGACATTCCAGACACTTTGACGCTGAAGCACTATGCCGGTAAGTGACTTCTCTCACCGTCAATGTACTCGCACTTGAAGTTGTACCGCTTGAATGAAGTAGTGTGGAGGTTTACAAGTTTTTGTGTCCAATTAAATATAGTTCGTATTGCTGAAATGTACTGTAAGTGTGTACGTGTTCAGTGTGGTCATGTTTGAAGTCATGCTACAAACCTGGATGAGCCAAAGCTGAACGCTGCTGCCGTTTGTCCATAACTTTTAACAAATGATTTCAGTGATTTCATTCATGATTATATGTAACTATTTTAACTAATTATCACTTGCATTAATTCTAACTGTTTAACTATTCATCCTCTAACATTCATTTTTTACTATTTTAGTATCCATGCACTTTTAGCTTTTTGAAATTTTCACCCATTAATTTTAACATCCTTCCTCCTTTCAATATTTATACATTACTTATAACTGTCTATCTGTGCAGCTGGCTCAAAACTTGGATATATATATTTAATAAAATGTTCATTTTTTAAAATGGGTTACACTACTCCACTGTCTTTTTATGGAGCTCCTGGTGGCTGCATCTCTAAGTGCCCCTGGTTTGGAGTCACTAATGTAGTGGACACAGTTAAATTGAATTTAAATTCTGGTAGAGACTGTTATTAAAGGCTGATGACATAATCCAAACCAGATGATCTCGATAGGACTGATTATAGACCTGCTTTTCATGCGTTTCATTATATTTGGAAACACGTGTGATCATGACTCTCCTTGGGGCTAAATGGCCGACTTACTTTGGGCTCACTCGCTTCCATTGCAAAGTCACGTCAATGAGAAATGAGCGGTGCCTGCCCATACCAACTCTATCTTTAGCATCTGCCCAAACCAAAAACACATTTACAAACATTCATTTGCCCTGCCCAGTGCGTATGTTAACCCCATTCATTTTGGCCAATCCATATGTTCAATGTACACGCACAAGCTCAGATGGGGAACTAAAGGGCCTTTATGACCACTGGCTGGGGAAAACCACAGGCGGATGAGTGGCCCTGTACACAGCATTCTTTCAGAGGTCTAGGCCTCCTCACAGAGCTCCACCACTGGGCTCTGCCTGCCTGGGAGAATCGGAGCGTGAAAAACTGAAAAATACATTGATTTGATGCTACGGGCTTTTCCACCAGCCTGCTCTCTGGCTAAAAGGCTCCCTCTGTTTACATTCAGGTCAATTAGAGCGGTCAACTCTTCAGAAAACACTGTGATAGTCGCCGTTGTGAAAAGGTACGTGCAATTCACCGACCCCTCTACTTCCCTGCCTTTTCTTGTCCTTTTTCCACATTGTCTTTTTAAGTAGCTTAAGGGTTAGGAGTATTGTTAGAATTTAAATGCATGACTAAGAGGTCTGTAGGCCTGCAGCATGTCATATGGTGTAACCCGCTGATGTTCTCCAAACAAGCATTAGTCATGTCAGTGTTTGGGTGCTAACAATTTTTTTCTTTTCAAGGCCAGACAGAGAAGAAGCCTCTGTGATGCCCCTGATCAATGCTGGCTTTAATAGGGTGAGAAACATGTTTGACTTTTTTCAAATTATTGTTACTATTTTGTTGACTACTGTGAGTATGATGCCCATAATCAGTTTATTTTAATAATGCAAGAGGATATTTTGCCAAAAATCCAGGATGTATCTGTTTTCAAATGTTCCTGAAGGGGTTTACATGCAGTCATCAAATCCTCATTCTGTGTGTGTGTGTGTGTGTGTGTGCACGCGCTGAGTTTATTTGTATTATTCTTTTCGTACATTTTATTCTGTCCTGACTGTCACCACTCACAGTAGCGCAGTACACCAGAACTTTGTTTCCTCAGGAGGCTGTTGCATTGGCCATGTTACTCATTGTGTTATAAAATTGCAACCTATTCTGTCCCGGCACAGATTTGAAAAATGGGATTCAGTTTAGTTGAGTCTTTTAATTGACCCATGTTGTTTGGTTCTGCCCTCTGACCCTCAGAGATATGTGGAGAATGCCAATGTGATGGCCTGCTACAACGAGCTGCTACAGCTGGAGCACGGAGAGGTGCGGGCGCAGTTCAAACTGAGGTGAGTCGTGATGTATCGGTGAACAGTGCTGCTGGTTAAACTCAAGATCAGTTAGGTGAGAATCCAAAGTTCACAGATGTTGCACTGAGTCACAAAGATGTTCTTACTTTTGTATGGCTCTTTTAAATCTCAAGAGGAGTCCCACTGCTTGCCTGTTTATTAAGATGTTATTAATGTTATTAATATTGTACGTATAAAATGTTCAAATCGCACTAAATACGACACTGCACTTCCTTGGGCCCTGAACGACACACATGCCAAGTGCAAAGCTGATAAGATGAACAGTTCTCAAGATAAGCGAGCTACATACAGACAGACTTCTGGAATTATTAGATAGATATATATGTTCACCATATATACTGTATGTATATAGATTGATGCTGGACACTGTTGAAAAGTTAAATTCTGTTTCTGTTCTCTCTCCACATGCTCCAGGGCTGGAAATTCTATTTTCACAGCTCTAGAACAAAGCCAGGAGGCCATAGAGATCACTTCTGAAGATCAAGTAATTCAAGTGGGTTTCTAATAGATTTTAATACTTCTTGTTGAGTTTACTGTAGTGTACAGTTCTCCCCCCCCCCCCTCTCTGTTCATTCATGTCTTGTGACCCCAGATCACAAGTATTGATAGTTTCGGTCTCCGTCCCTCTGAATGGCTCTTTTTGTTAAATCCCCTGTAGCCTGTGTTTATCATGTTATGTTTTCATGTAAAAATGAGATGTGCTAAAAATGTATCCGCCTCTTTGAAAACTTTTTTTTTGGTCGGCAAGAGGTCATCTTCTTAACTGTGTCTGAACTCCTGACTGTGGATTTTCTCAACAGCAGATCACCCATCAGTGCCTGAACTCTCTGCTTGCCTCTCCTCCACAGTACGTGAACCCTGCCTACGAGTCCATAATGGGCTACCAACAAGGCGAGCTAATAGGGAAGGAAATTATAGAAGTGCCTAAAAGTGAGAAGAATAAGCCTGATCTCCTTGAAACAATAAACTCCTGCATACGGAAAGGAAAGGTAATACACACTCATTAAATTGTCTCATCCGGGTAATTATATAACAAGAACTTAAACTCATCAGTGGCACTCCGAGAGCCCATACCTCAACAAAGGCCCAACTGTCGCCTTATGAAACCACATTTTACATTCTGGATTTTGATTTGGATCTGCACCAAATTGCACACACTCATAAATATCAATCTTCTAAACGTGCTTAAATGTTTTCATCAAGATCCATGATTTATTCTCTGAGGAATCAAAGAAAAGGTTGCATAACACCCTATCTCGCAATGTTAAATAACATCCAGATCCGCACCACAGTTCAATGGTTTCTTTCCTGACTCTTCCTTCTACCCGTTTATGTGGTAATCTGTCCAGTAGTTATGTATAATCCACAGACAGATCTTGATGAAAACATAACCTCCATGGCGGAGGTAATAAATGATCTCCTTACAAACACAATCTGAAGAAGTAACATAGAATTCACTGTAGACTATCGCTTCACAATCAGATCAGTCTTGTAAGCATAGTAGATAACTGCTCCTGCCTTTGTGTCTGTGCCTGCATGCGTGCACGTGCATCCATGTGTGCTGTCAGTTCGCACCAGCGGCCGCCCGGCAGCTCCTTTCATGTGAATGAGAACAGCGGTTGCTGGCTGTGCTGTAATCTTACTACACAGAGAGCGAAGGTCAGTCTCAGTCGGACGAACAGCAGGATGGTCCTTTTTAAGTTGCCACAGCCGTCTGTAGGCCAGGGGACATGAAACAAGTTTGCCGGACTCCAGGAGTGCTCCCTCTTCCCATTAAAGCAGCTTGTTGCTCTATGAAACACTCGTCTGACCTGCACCACAAACACCGCCACGCCACAGCCAGTCCACTGTGATTTGTGAATATGGGCCATTCAAATAAAGTTTGATTTTTAAATCCCATGATGCTTCTATATGTTTAACTTCCTCCCCCTGTGGATCTGTCTTGTTGTTTCAGGAGTGGCAGGGGATTTATTATGCCAAAAAGAAGAATGGAGACAGCATTCAACAAAATGTGAAGATCACACCTGTAATTGGACAGGGAGGGTGAGTGACAGTAAAGTACTGAATAACTCTGTTGGTTGATTGTTTCCCTTTATTTTGTCACGATTTACTAAAAAGCTTTTTTGTTTTTTCACAGAAAAATCAGACACTATGTGTCTTTCAACAGGCCTTTACATGATAATAATAAGGTCAGACGTGTTTCCATTTTTGCTAATTTGATAATGACCCTGTTGAGACTTGGTTCTGAGTGATCCCATCACAAGTGGACAGCTTTAAGTTCATCTGTTCACACACGACATTAAAATACGTCCTGAATGTTTCTCCTGTGACCACTTGTGATCTGAGCGTCTTGATGCACATGGCTTTAAGATGAAATAATATTTAACTCACACAAAACAAATCATTTTGGTAAAGTGGCAATACTCTGTTCCTGCAGTTTCAGGACCACATTTCTAGGACCTCAGTTTTAAAGGTCTATTCCGCCTAAATACTATTGTCTTTCTTCCAGTTCAACTTGGTTGCTAGGAGTTGCATCTTTGACAATTTGAGTAAGTTAGTATGATTATCAGGTGAAATAAAGATGGTGTCATATGTTCTGAACTTTTCAGCTTCTAGATATCAACCAGATATTTGAATGTTTGGAGAGAGAGAAAATATATGATATTATATATGAGGTGGTTTCCACAAACAATTCTAAATGACTGGACACTGAGAAATGTTTTCATAAGGAAACTATTGTGATGGGATCACTCAGGTCTGACGTTAACACAGGTCTTGATGGAGTCATTGAGTGACGGGAGCCTTTTGGCTTGAATATATTAATTAACTTTTTCTCTCTGTTCATGCAGAGTGAAAAAACCAGTGAACGTGTGCAGGCAGAGTCTCAGACAGGTAAGATCCAACCTGAAATTCTCTCTGCTCCATATTGATTACCCACAGTACATGTAAGATTGTCCAGTCTTACCTCTCTGGATCAGAATAACACATTCGATAGAGTGCATAGCTCTGCCAAGGCTCAATAAACCTGCGGTGGAGTCTGTGGACCAGTTACCGTATGAGCTTCACTGAAGGAACTTCTTTCCATATCAATTGTGATCAGGCACAAGACTCAGGACCTGAGGGCCAACATTGTGTTTGTCATTAGGAAGAACAACATTCAGTTCCACTGTTACACTGATGATGCACAGTGTTAATTTTATCTGATAGTTTGCAGACTAACAAATATTTGTGGCATGTTTATAACGCTAAATATGAGATGTTCACATTTGGGAACCCGGAGCTTTGTAAACTTTGGAAATATGTCAACAAACAAATTGCACCTTGCAAGAAAATCTTTTATTTCTTTGATCACGACCTGAGTTTTTACACACTCGACTCTTGAGTCCTGCTTTATCTATCAGAGAAATATTTCCAAAAACAGAATTGTCTCTATTGTTGAGATTGAAAAGCGAATCCACACTTTTATTTCCTCTAGAGTTGAAACAGGAACAGAACAGGAATAATAACTCTGCTGTGTCTGTATCCTTTAGACAGCTCACTAAAAATAAGTCTCTTTTAAACATTGTTATTGGTTTATAAAACTGTATTAAAAGGTTTATTTTACTCGTCTCTGGCCTGTCAAAGTGACTGGTGTTTTAATTGGTTTTATTTCTTTATTTAATTTGTCTGTGTATTGCCAGTCTTAAGTTTCTTTTATTACATTTTCAAGCACATTCAGAAATTGAGAAAAAATTAACCTGAAATAACCCTGTTTCTGTCATTTTGAACTGAAATGTACAAACTGTCCAAAGCTGTCTGCTTCCTCAGAGGAAGAATCAAAGAGAAGTTTCATGGCTTTATATTAATCCCTTATAACAGTAAATCCCCTTCAAATCAAATCACACACTCAGAATTAGTTGTCTTGGTCGGAGTCATAGTCCATGAAGTCTAAATTAATGCAGAGAAAGAAGAAGAAAATGAACGTTGGCTTTTAAATCCACAAACGATTCTTTGTTCCTCATGCTGACCGAATGGTCTTGAAGCTAAACACTCATTGGTTGAGATAAAAAATAAATAAAGCAAAATGAGAGCAAAAACACCTGCATTATGCATTAAATGCCAAGGACAGATCTAGATAATATAAATGAAATCTAGAATCTTTTCAATGGATTTAAATTACTGATCCCATTCCTCCAAGTACAAGTGTATTTCCAGCCATCCCTTCGGTAGTGCAGGATGTTTAATATGAATATGTTTTATAAAATCTCACCGTTGCACCTTTTATATTCTGTCAATTACTACAATTTCACCGGAGTCAAACCTCAAAACAGAACATGTGAGAAAGCACCATATGTCAAAAAGGAGCGTAATAGTGATCGACAACAGGCGGCTATATTCTGGTTGGCCTGTTTAAGGCATCTCATCCTCCTGCCAAGGATATTGAGATGAGGGCCAATGTCATCTGTGTCACTAAACTTGAACTGTGTTTGTGTGTGTTAATGAAAGTCGTTTTCTTCTCCCCAGACATTCAATCCAGTAAGCACAAAGACAGGAGGAAAGGCTCTCTGGACGTAAGATCCACAACGTCTCGGGGGAGCGATGGTGAGAGTGAGGGGAGATAGATGATGGAAAGTCTGGGCGTTTCTTTTCAGTTTATGAAACATTCCCAGTTGTCTGTTTGCATTAAGTGTTGATTGGACACACACACACACACACACACACACACACACACACACGAACAAACTCATCGGAAAGTTAAAGCTTAATTTGTTGTTGTCAAAGTTTGGCTGAATGAAAGTTTGAGCTTATAACACGGGACGTCTGGTTTTCAGGGAGCTCACAGCGAAGGCACTCCTCAATGGCCCGCATTCACTCCATGACTATAGAAGCTCCCATCACCAAGGTTGGTTCATCTCCTTCGGTATTATCCCTTTCAGCCTCCATCATATGATCAGCTCTTTATACTGAAGCTCTGTGTCTCATGACCAAACTCTTGGGTTATAAAGTTTTCACAATCGCCATGAGGCCTTCTTGTACTGCTGCACAGGGAGTGCGGAGTCTCAGGCCACGCATACCATGTCAAGAGGAGATAGGCTGATAAAATGCCACATTTCATGCACAAGACAGGAAAGCATGCTGCACCAGAATGACCTGCCGTTTCAGTGGTTTATGCAGTCTGCAGCCTGGATAGTCGGAAACAGAGAAAGTCCCCAGGGATGGGTCATATGACACACTGCAGTTCCTCTGTTCTATCATTTGACTGTGTAGTCAGTCCCTGTAGGCGTCATCCTCGCTAGAATAAAGCACTGATAGAACTGCTGGTGCTGTTTCTGTGGAAATTAGTTACATAGAACTTGTGTTCTTTCACATGCCTTATGACTTCACCATAGGTGCCCGTTGTTAATACTACCAAGTTCACATGTTGGAGTAGACGTGTGTGATTTCACAACACTTTACTTTAGAGAAATATTTTAATATTTTAATGATCATTTCAAGAAACCAAAGTTTTGTTATATTGTTATATCTTGCTGAAAGTTGCTGCTATCAATGTGAAACTGTCGCCAGTAGATGTTTAGCTAAGCAGGGGAAATGTGGGGGGGAAACACTGACACATCCAATTGTAAAAAACTTAAAACCAAAACCTTTGAATGGTCAACAATTACCACATTCTATCTCATTTTTTAACTCGTACAAAAATAAAAGTGTAAAAACTACAATTTGTGGTTTTAAAATATTTTCTGGACTATTTTTTAAATTTTCGGAGGGTCTCTGGTGATGACGTCACATTGACAAACCACATGTTAACAGTTGTGTAAATTATTGAGGTTCTGGTAGATTTCCACTTCCTCCCTTTGTACAGAAATGCACTACAGGGCTGCAGTGATCTTGCACGTCATTTGTAGGCGGAGTCTGTGCAGTAATGATATACAGCCTTGGAATCAAGGTCCTGTCGATACATGTTCAAAACCAATCGCGAGTTAGTCTCAGAAATGACAGAAACCATCTTTGAGAAAGAAAATGTATTCAACATCTACTTTTGACTTTTGAGTTTTTATCCATGTCCCATCTGCTAACATGGAGGAGGCAGGGTTTATGACCCACTTCAGCCAGTCACTGGGGGGGGGGGGGCAATTAAGATGGTTTGGCTTCATTTTGAGGGAGGTGTTCTGTCTTCCATCTTCATATACAGTCTATTGTTCCCGCCCATTTCCAGTTTTCATTCCTAAGCTTACGATCCCTTCACTGGTTCAGTAACTGTTTCAACCTTATGTGCTGAAAAAAAAGTGCAAATAAATGTAAAGATCACTTTTTTTTTTTCATCTTCAAGGTAATCAACATCATCAATGCAGCGCAGGAAAGCAGCCCCATGCCCGTAGCAGAAGCCTTGGATCGAGTACTGGAGATCCTGAGGACCACTGAGCTCTACTCCCCACAGTTGGGCACCAAGGATGAAGACCCTCATACGAATGACCTCGTGGGCGGGCTGATGACGGTAAGCGGCGGGTCCCTGAGAGCGCGGGGGGCCTTGGCTGGGTCAGGAACACCCAAGCAGCTTCCTGAATCGACTCCGGTGTGATAACTCGCATGGGAGCATTTGCAGAGTGATAACACAAGGGTCTACGTGAATACCAGTGAAAGAAAAGGGAGATGCTTTAATGTCCGTGGTATATTTTTTGTCACGATTTTACGGAGGGAGAGAGAGACAGAGAGGGATTAACAGACAGTAACGGTGAAGTACAGAAGTAGAAAGAGTGCCAAGTTGGCAGTCTTGGCAACGACCCCAAAGGAAGTGTTAGATTGTCCTTTGTGCTCCTGTAGGCTGGAGAGGAAAACCCACCCCACCCTCTCTGTCTCCCCCCTCTCCCTCTCTCTCCCTCCCTCCTTCGCCCTGCACACATGCACACACTCACATGAACCTCTTCCTCTCGGCTCCGCAGGCCTGGAAACATCCTGTTCTTTGGATCAGATGAATAAGCATGGCTTCACTTATACATGCGCTCTCTGGAGACACAGAGGTGTCACATGTAATTCTAGTGGTAAAGGCTGATGTTCACCACCGACGTTTGGGCTTAGATGATTATTTATATACGATCAAATTGGTTTCTGAGGTGCCCGGTTGCATTTGTTATTTCTTGGCTCGTGGTGTGAAGTGTGCGAGGTCTGAACTCAGAAGAGCCAGTCGACGTTAGGAGAGGAGCTGTCATCTTACTGGGGAGAAAATCTTAAAATAGCCAGTGTGTACAGAGGCAGCGCCATCATGAGACAATGCTCGGGTCAAAGATGAGCCAGTCTGCTCTTCCTTTTTCACTTGTGAGGTAAACATTTCACTCACTTGCAACACACACACATGTGCCGCTAATGCCAAAATACGTAATATGGCTGGATTATATAGGCCTTACAGCTCATAAATATGGTTTTCATATTTTAAACTCCCTCTGTTGTGGGGAAACGAAATGTGGTGTCAACAAAGCCACCAACATTTTGCCATAACACAAAATAAAAGGACCCAAAAGAGTGTAATGGAAAATCAGTAAATTCCATGTCTGTTTTCTTTTTTATTAATACTGTTGTGATTTGTTAAGCTCTTTCTTCTGTCAAATTGCGTTTCCTTGTGTAACTTTGTCAAAATGCAGTGATGCATTCAGAGAGATCTATAATCCAACTCATGTTTCTGGAGCCCAGGTCTTAATTTCTGTATGGGAAAATCATTACAAAGTAAGCTTTGAAGATTCCAGTTATGAATTTTGGGCCGACATTAGCCCCCAGAAGTCCAAACTAAACTGACAAGGTGTTTAAAAAGTGAACTTAAAGTAATGTTTTATTAAGTACTTCTCTGGTGGAAATCCCCCTTGACTTGTGGCTAAACTTGAGTTTGTTTGTAGTTTAAAGTTTAAAGTGTCTGTTCAACAAGGATAAATGGTGATTTAATGAACTGTATGTATTCAGTCAGTTTTTTACGCTTGCTTCCTCAGTCCTTTACTCTTTTTTTCTTTCCATAATGTTCACAGGATGGTTTACGCAGATTGTCAGGAAACGAATACATACTTTCCACAAAACGTAAGTTTACATAAAGCACGCATGATGATATGACTTGCTCTGTTTTTTTTCTCCTTGTATACTTTATCCAGAGGTGGTGAACAACTATTTTTTAACTTCCCCTCTTATGTGAACGCCTCCTCTTGTCTCTTCCTTTGCTCACAGAGCCCCACCACATCCCCAGTCAGCTGACAACTCCTCTGTCGATAAATGACATACCCCCTCGTATCGCCCAAACCATGGAGATTGAGGACTCTTGGGACTTTGACGTCTTCAACTTGGAGGCTGCAACCATGAAACGGTGAGGCAACACCACAGTTACGGCCAGACCAGAGGGACTGTGTCAAATTTTATTCAGCATGGAATGAGAGCTTGGTATGAGGGTTTATATTAAACTACTGTGCCGGACCCTCCCGCAGGCCTTTGACCTACTTGGGCCTGAAGATCTTCTCCCGCTTTGGGGTCTGTGAATTCCTAAACTGCCCTGAGGCAACTCTGCGCTCCTGGCTACAATTGATTGAAGCTAACTACCACTCCAGTAACTCCTACCACAACTCCAGTCATGCAGCTGATGTCCTGCACGCAACAGCCTATTTTCTCTGCAAGGAGAGGGTCAAGGTAAATTGACAAACACTAATAATAACAAATGAATCATGCTTCTTTATTTTGAAAAATGCCAAACTTACTCAGCCATTATATAGTTTAGGCTAGAGGTGTGGTTTGTTAATAAGCTGATGGGCAGAAATTAAATTTAAAAATAGATTATTGTTCTAACAAAATATTTGCAAAACAAACAGTTTGGGTTTCCAGGATATTTTGTGGCCATATTTCACTTTCATTGCTGTAAGTTTATTCACTAAACTTTAGATTAATTATTGAAAAAATACTTCAAATGAATCCACAATTTTAATAATTGTCGCAGCTTTTTCGCCAATTATAAGCTTTTATCAGAGTTGTTTTTAAAAAGTCGGTTATACGGGTTTACGTAATGAAATATATTCATAGTGTATTTCAATACGTTGCTAAAAGTCAGCACATTGACATTAGTTTTAGAGGGTGCCATCGTTTAGTTTACGAATGTTCACTGCTGCTTTGGGTGTGGGTCCAAACACATACAGTATGTTGTTGTTTGGATTTTCTATCGATTATCTATGGGGCGTGGCTGCCCGCTCGGTCTTGACAGTCAGGTGTCCTGTCTGAGTGGACTTTATCCTGAGTGGTCTTTTTTTTTTCTCCAAGTGTGTCAGTGGCTCAACAAGCAGTTGAAGCTAAGCTGATTACCAAACTGTCTATTTCTGATGTCAGTGGAGGGATCTTTCATTGGCTTAGCCAGCGAACTGTGAAGTAAAGTCTCCCAAGGTTAATGGATCCCTGAACCTCTGCAGACAGCACACAGTTGCGAGAGAGAATGAGAAATTTTAATTATTTTTGGTAATCTTCATTTTTGTTTTGTTTCCTTTGCTAATATTTTTTACTTTTTACACATAGTGAAAAACTATCCAGCCAGCAATAAATGACCTAATAAACTATCATGATGCCTAAAATTTCTATTGGCATATTTCATCAATTTGCTTTCTATGCAATGAATTTAAAAAAAAATCAAGTTAAAGGTTTAACACATTCAGCAAATTGAACGTTTTCTCTCAGTGTAAATGTAGAATGCTAACACACTAAGTATATTCGGTGACATGTACACATTTATAACCAGCCAGTTGAATGTGTTCCATATTTTGAGATCTAAGGAAATCAGTGTCTCCTGCAAATGCAGCTAAAATAAGGGCAACTTTTTTTTTATTATATTATTAAATCACAACTGTCTTTCACAAGATAGAGCTACTACTTTTTCTTCCACAACAACCTGTCAGATTTCATTGTCTCACTGTTTTTCATGTCATCTGCACCTACAGCAAAGTTTGGATCCCATTGATGAGGTGGCTGCCCTGATTGCTGCTACCGTGCACGATGTGGACCACCCGGGCCGCACCAACAGCTTCCTGTGCAACGCGGGGAGCGAGCTGGCCATTCTCTACAACGACACAGCCGTGTTAGAGAGCCACCATGCAGCTCTGGCCTTCCAGATCACCACGAGAGACGATAAGTGCAACATCTTCAAGAACATCGAAAGGTGGGAGATCTGTGACACCTGGTCACCTGGAGAAAAAGTTGTCATTTTCTGTTATTTGCTCAACTGAAGATCACAGAATCACCAAAAACAGAACGGAGTCAAATTTAGCTGTAAATTAGGTGAAAGCAGTTCTAGTGTGTGGCTTCAAGTCTGAAATAAATATTATTGTATTTATTTACATATCTGAAGTTAGTATTTAAAACAATAGTTTTGAGAGTTTCTTTGAAATGATATTTTAACAAAACTACAAAGTTTACAAATTTATTCAGCAAATTGAAAGTTTTTGTTTTTGCTTGATCTGTTACCTCAGTGAAGCTGAATAATGCAATATTAATAATATTTTAAAAAATTGTTATCACTCAATTCATCTACTAATCATTGCAGCTCCATATTCTTTTCGGAGTCTGTTTATGATACAGACAGCACATGAAGTGTGTGTGTGTGTTTATGTGTGTGTGTGTGTGTGTGTGTGTGTTGACAGCGGCGGGGTAGTAATGTGATTTGAGTCCCAAAGCAGAATAGCTCACATGTGCTGGTCCCCTCAGAGGGGGAAGGTGAACAAAGCTTCCATTCATTGCTACTGTCATGGCAGTCAGAGGAGGAAAACTGTTCACACGGGTTTCTGTGCTATTTACCACTCTGTCATCTCTCTGTTCCCTCTTTATTCTCTTCTCTCTCTCCTGCCTTCACCCCCTTCTCTCATCTGATGTCTGTCAATCTCTCTCTCTCTCTCTTTAGGAATGAATATCGAACACTACGACAGGCCATCATTGATATGGTGCTCGCAACGGAGATGACTAAACATTTTGAACACGTTAACAAATTTGTCAACAGCATCAACAAGCCACTGGCTGCTCTGGAGGAGAACGGGGTGAGATTAAAAATGAAGATTTCCAATGTTAGCATTTTTTGCAAACAGATCCGTGTTGAGTCAGAGCAGGAAGGACACACAGGAGCATTCAGATAATTCATATAAACACATTTATATAAACACTGTACTGTCATTGTGTCACGTGCTGTTGAAGAATCACACTTCAACAATACACATGCAACAATAGTGTCAGAGCTCTGGAGATGGGGATACTGGTGCAGGGGACTTTGTGGCCTGTTGTTGCAAATATCTTTGCAGGGGGAGAATTTTACAACCTGGTAACATCTTTCTCATCTCTGTGAGGAATGCTCAACACAGACATTTAAAATTGCTCTTGCCTCTTAAGGGCAGCAATAATACAAATAAATGATCCGACTGATGATTTGTCCCTAAATTCTTATATTGAATCCAGTCACTGCCTGAAAACTTTCACATGTGTATGAGTTTGATATGAGGTCAAAAAAGAAGGTACAAGCTTTGATAAAGAGTTTTAGCTGTTTTGTCACATGTCTGCTGTAATTGTGTAGTTAACTTGAGATACCTCAGTCATGTTGGAACCTTACTTCTGTCATTCTTACAACACAGGATTAGGGCCATATTGAAGTTTAAAAAAAGAGAGATTGTATGAG